CAACTTCATACTTTTAATTAATATGTAGAAAAAAACTGAGTATATTCAATTATGTATTCAAGCATTTCGTTTTGATGCAATCTTTATTTTTACAGCCTGGCAATGTGTATACTAAAGCGTAATATCTTCTCTTTGGGTTCAAGATTTAATTTGTATTTAACACCAGAAGCTCATGCGTTGTATAACTTGAAGTACCTATTTGACCACTTCCAGAATAGTGAGTCAAGTTAGCGTAACATAACTGTTCTTAATGCGTGTTTAATTGTAAATATTACTGTTAACTTATCTTAGTGCTTTTGACAAAACGATTAAGTGATACTTTTGCGATCAGCGATTTAGTTCTTGGAATAGCTATGTTGAAATTATTTACCTGCACATACGATTTCATATGTGCCAACAAGTAGCTGTATCTGTACCACAGTGACAACTAACAATCGAGACGAGTACCAAGCACAGAAAAAACTGAGACTGTTGTGTGTAAACAAATATCTAATTAATATACAAGAAATCAAAGTCACTGTCGAAAATGTTAGGAATATAAAAATATATTAATAAGTAGATTAAATGTCTCAAGTTTATATAAGAAACCTGTAAATATAGTTCAACACCAAGGGCATACCAAGCCTTCTTTGCTCAAAAATGATTGGTAATAACATATGTTACTCATTAGCAGTAAGTAATATAGACATAATACACAAGAGAGAACCAGATTTGCAGACAAGTGATGCAAGCTGAATTGACAATTACAATGTATTTTAACCTGATTTTTCTTGTACACTCTCAATCCACTGTCTCCTATTGATTTTTACTGCCAACAGTGATAATTGAATTGATCGAAATATCAATTTATTCCCACATTTACACTAAGCAACTCTTAGATAATACTACTAACTGATTATGTCAATGTGCATTGGAGTGTTCAGTATATTAATCTGCCTGGATAGTATAACTGACCAAGTTATCAGATGACAAATGATGGAGCTGATGTTCATTAAGTATTTCATCAGTCTCCATTTATGTACCACAAAATAATCATATTTTATACGGATGAATAAAATTAATACAACTAAAAAAATAGAAGGGACTGGGATTTTAAGTTATGTATCATAAACTGGCTTTAGTAGGACAACCAATAAAAACCCGTAGTCTCTCTCGACAGATTTTTTTCCCATGTATGGAACTCATTAGCAGAGCTGAATTTAAATTTCCGCTCTGCACACTAATTAATCCATCCTCGTACAGAAGTCAAAGCATACTCAATAATGAATTTCATTAGTTGACTGATAACTTGCATGTAGATGTTTGTGTCCAGATAGTTAATTTATTTACAGTTGGCAGAAAGTTTCGGTTTAACTGTGTAATATATTGCGAGCATATTTGCATATGACTAGATAAAAATATTCTTATATCTTGGTTTTCAAGTATTCAGATAAACATTCACGAGCTTTTCAATTTTTGTAATGCAATCTTCTAACGTAGGGTTATTTCTGGCTTTTTTCTTTGCTGATCAAGAGTCATTTCTAGGTGTAGAAGTATGTCATTGAATCTTGGAGTAACGAGTTCCTCGCACATATACGAAAGCATCTTTTTGTCACCGCATTATTGATACTACGTAACATTTTCAGATCCATGTATTTTTCATTTGGCCCAGAACGGCTGTTAAAATATTTTTCTCCCTATGCTTCTTAGAATAAACGCCGTCTAGTTACATGATCAGTGATATGAAAACTAATAGGCTAAAATATTTTGGCGATATAATTTGCAAGGAGTTTTCTGTTGTATGACATGTATGCATGCTAACTATGTTTAATTTCAACTACGTCACTGCCCGAAATATGGCATAGAAAAAAGCAACCCGAATACCTCCGGTATTTTTTGATGTTAAAATGCTCTCGGGGCATTTTTCAAACTGAAAGTCGAACAGTTAAGAGCATGAAAGTCGTTTTCTTTTCGAAATTCGGTTTTATCTCTATCTTTATTTGGAGACCTGAACGCACCAAGTATGGAACTCATTAGCAGTGTATTCACCACCTATCTGAGGTTCAAGCGCACAACCTGCAAGGTTAGGGACAATAGCTTAACATTCAGATCACTGAATCTTACCTCTCAGTTTACATTTCTAGTTGGAGATATTGCAAAACCATCATCCATTCTCACTGGTGATATTATTCTAACGCCCTACATGGGTGTGTGTGAGTGATAGCTGCATACTCCCTATGAGTCCTGCATTAAGACGAGACATTTATCCCTAGCTTCTTTGTTTTCAGTGGTTGCTTAAATCAAGTTAGCCGTTAGTGTGAAACTGCAAGTATCTATACGATTTTGTGCAAAACTCGAAGCTAAATAATTCATCCATCATAATTAGTATTGTCATTCCCCAATGTGTATGTGTGTTTGAATCGCGTAAACTCTCAGTGTTTTTGACACAGTGGAACGATTAGGCAGATCTATGATTTAACTTCATATCAGTTATCTGGAAGTAAATGATTACAAGCAGTCGAAGGATAAGGTTATCTGATATATAAACCCTGAGACACCAACTTCTTTATATCGTAAAAGAATTAGCCTCATCAGTTAGTTTGTATCCTGCTGTTACTGTCAGAAATAGCTTAAATATAAATATCATTGATGTTATGACAGTTTAAACCAAACAATCGATTCTGACTATCATGAAAGTACCGCTTTTCCATCAAATTCTCATGCAAAACAAATATTCTCCAAAGATCTGTACAAAATTATAAACATCATTATTTGGCTGTTGTAAAATATCACCAACTCATTATACGAATGTGTAAAACTCGAGCAGCATGAATTATTTGCTTAAAAAGAGAAAATTTTCATTTTATTTAGTGCTCATTGTTTTCAGTTTGATCTGATGGTCACTATGTGGTTTACTGTCTATGTGTGTGATCTGATCACATATTATCTTATCGCATATTATCTTAAATATATTTATAACGCAAAAATATTAAGATGTACGCCATCCGAAATCATGTGTTAACCATCACGAGAAAAACATCTCACATATAAACTATGCCTGAATTTGTATAAAAAATGTATTCATAATAATCATTATATAGTATTTTACACTGAAAATAAAAATTCCAATCAGAAATTTGGTCTACCAACTTTAATATGATTAATTTCTTATACTTTCAGATTTATTGAAAAAGATAAATCAACATGAAATTGTCGGTTTTGTATAATTAATTTTCTTCTAAAAAATAAAATACAATGTAAACTTTTCTTGAATTATTGATTATGGTAACAATTTTATTATTGACTGTGAACATAATGACCCTATTCTCTTTTTTTATTTTAATATATTTTGTATTTGTTAAAGTGCATTAAGCAATACAGATTGTTGTTGACAGTGTGCTTTTGTTTGTTAACAAATATAAATCATATGAATAATTGATATGTATATAAATAGAAGGTCATAATATTCATATTTAACAGATCGATAATTAAGTTTTTTTATTTACGTTGTAAATATAAGTGCACATGGTTAGTTAATTTTACTCAAAGAGTAAAGAGACAAGGCTATTAGTGCTATGTGGATGATTTTATTTAAGTTTATGTACCTAATTATCAATACAGCAAACTAGAGTTGAGAAAATTTTTCTCTGGAATGTAAAATGAACTATCCAACCAAAATAACCAGTAGTTTCGAACCCTTTGAAAAATTTTCTTATTTGAATTAGACTAATTAGCTACTGATAAGTATGGTCTAAAAGGCGGATTACAATTTAACCTCTTGATAAACAGCGTCAGACGCCATCTTAAGATCGAGGAATGCAACTATTATTGGATGCGAAATGTGTGTCGGTGTTCTAGGACCTGTTGGAGTGTGAATATCTGGTATATACAGCCACGTCCAGGTCGGAAACCAACCTGGCTTCCTCGAGTCTGCTCTTCACAAGCTCTTGTTTGGTGTCAGGAGCCAGTCGTACACTACCTTCCATCCCACCCTCTGCCTTTTCCAACCTCATAAAATAATGCACGATATAGCATTCGCTGGGACAGTGTTTGTAGCACATATTCGAGCCATTGGAGCCTGTTTCAAGCGGGTGATATGACCTGACTAATCGTCAATGTGTTCAAGCACACCCCTCGGCATCACTGATATCATGTTGCCACTGAATGTCAAAATGCAATGGAGAACACGACGATAAAATACAGAGTTGTTTCATGTCAAGTCGGAGAGGGTAGGTTTCACAAAGATATACTAAAACCGTACTCGTTCATATTTTGCCGGTCCGACCTTTTACAGCCAAACTAACATCACGAAGACACCAGAGGTGGGCCAGTTTGGTTTAGACTACTCTAGTTCTCGCCATGCGTATACTGACCTAATCACAACAACAAATAAGCATCGACGAGTGTCCCTCTTTTTGAGACTTTACTGTCTCGTTTAGTCGGACAGCACATAAGCGACTACCTACTGAGGTCTAGTCTAAGAAAGCCTTAGAGCCCAGTAAAAATACCTACACCAACAAGGCCACGAGAAGCAGCAGTGCGGCTTTCAGATACACAAAGTGTAAATTGCGATGGCTCTATACCTTGACAAGATGAGGTCAAATGAATTATTGCACTCCGATCCTGTTGTGCGCGTTTTGGAGACGCAGCATACATCGATAGCACGAGATTCTAGAGTCCTAGTTAAAAAATCCTGTTGTAATATTCGGCACCAGCTCCGGACGTTAAAAGCTCCAGCGTGTTTCAGGAGACCAGGAATAACTTTTCGCGTGCTCAAGTCATTTGCATCGAAGGCACTAGGTGATTAAGGTATACGAGATGGGTTAGTCGTGGAGACAAGAGAATTATTAATAGGTGTGGGATGGGTTCGGTTGCGACGGGTTCGCTCTCGTGTGGTGTTACGAGTATGAAAGCGGATACCACTTCGGCAGCATCGACGCAAATGCTGGCTGTCTGAGGGGAATATCTCACTGCCGTCACACCTTTCTACAGTCAACAGTACGACTTCGCCATCAGACCTTCAGTTACTGCTTTTAATCTTACCGTTCTCCAGTCGACCTGTCTGGCATGGCAGAACCTGCAAGGACATATGTTCCAGCCAATATGGCTCGGTTGGGTCGTCACGATAGGCAAGTCCGGCCAACACTTCACGGTAGAAGCTACGCTCAGGTAGGTGGCGTCTGCGGTCGGTTGTAGCACTGTAAATTTAACTGTAAGAATACTTTGTACTATTCACATCCAGTTGTGTCTTGAAAATCGCTGATGGATGGATCGTTCCAAGCAATTCATTATGAGCTATTCAAGCGGAAACTGGATACATTCTTAAGGGATTAGGAGAGTATTTTGTACTGATTTATTAGTAATTATCTAATAAATTTTTGTGTACTTACGACCTTATCAGGAAGCATCGGAGATCCACTGCTTCTGAATATGGAAACTCGTTAAGGAAAGGCTCCTGCTACCTTCACCATCATTTGAAGCCGAGGTGACCACAACCACCTCAGTGGGTAGTTTCAAGAATAGACTTGATAAACACGTGCTCATCTACCTCTTGAATCAGCTCCACTTGAAGCATGTCTCGAAACTTGCTAGATGTTATTACTGTCATTTCCTCGGATCACTAGCTTACTCTAACTCGCTTGTTATCTTTGTTTCCTCCCCCCGTTGACACCTTAGTCCTCTCGCACAATCTTCGCTACCACTTAATTAATTCATTAATTTACTTTCTTAGTTCTGAAATTTTCGCACTAGCACTGGGATTTCTCACATTGCAACTAACTGATCTCTGACTTGATAATGTGAAAACTGATGGTATCCAGAATCCCTACTACCCTGAAATAAACTCACGCAAGACCAGGGACAAAAACGCAACTACCACCAGCTGACTAGATTAAGTGCAGAGGAGTAGCTAGACAACCATCTATTGGGCACTAAAAAATAGCTTAAACCTTTTTGGAATAACAATATTCTAGCAGTAAGAAATAAACTGGTTCAAGCTATCGCGTGTTCTGTGAAAGGCCTGAATAAGGAAGACCTCACCAACCTAGAGATGGCTGATATCTTTGACAGAAACTTCACTGAGTAGCTAAACCAGGCACCCACATGTTCAGAGTTTTACACTAACCCAGTCCCAGATGACTGCCTGCTTGAATTACTTCTAAGGAAACTAAAATCCTTACGCCCAGGAAAGTCACCAAGTTGCGACAATATTCGCTCCATAGTCCTGAGACTATGTGAAGAAGCCCTTAGTGATTTGTTCAGGCATTCACTGGATCCACACTTAGTCCCAGATGTATGAAAACAAGCTACTCTCTCTCAAATCTTCAAAGGAAAATATAGAAAGAATCCAGTCTGTCACAGATGAGTCGCATCACTACAAATACTATCAAGGTTAATGGAAGGGCTTATAAAAGAACAAATGAGGGAATACATGGATAAGAATAAAACACTCCATAAAGCTGAACACGGGTTTAGGGAAGGCATGTCGTGCCCATCTAATCTCCCGATAGCACCGAACAGCTGGATATCCTGCTTGGACCAAAAAATACCGGTTATCATTTTAATTTACCCTTATTACCCTTATTACTCTCCACATTGCAACTAACTGATCTCTGGTTTGGTAATGTGACGGCTGCTAGTATCCAGAAACCCTACTGCCCTGAAACAAACGTTTCATTCAAATCCCGAGACATACAAACTCACAACCAACTGCCAACTGACTAGAATTAGACAGTCGAGTGGCTAGACCTCCATCCATTGGACATTACCGAACACCTGGAACCGTACCGAAAGAACAAGAATCGAGCGCGAAGAAATCAAGTTGGTTTACACTAGCTCGTGAAAAAGATATTGGATATTGGATATTGGACTTAAATAAGGTATTGGATATTGAGCGTCGGAAGATTATTTAAGTGATGATGCAGCGCGGCATTCTCAATTCCTCGAAATCATTATACTCTGTTGTACGTAGCGCAATGGTATGTTGCGTATTGACTAATATTTTCCCATAGTCTTCTTCTGACAGCTCTAAGAGTTCAATATACGAATTCACCGCTAAAGATATTGATGGTGTAGATGTCTCTTTGGAGAAATACCGGTTTGTTCAATGCTATGTTTTTATTTTGTGACAATATTTCTCTTTAGTGGTTATGTTTGTTTAATTGTTAACGTTGCTTGTAAGTGAGGCGCAACGAACAAGAACTATAGCCAACTACAGAAGATGCACACTGATTTAGTTGGCGAAGGTCTCCGCATTTTAGCATTCCCCTGCAATCAGTTTGGTGGACAAGTATGTTACATTTGAATCGATACCATTTTCAGGAACCCTGGCCAGAAGCAGAGATCAAGAAGTTTGTGACTGAAAAGTTTGGCGTACAATTTGATATGTTCTCAAAAATAAATGTTAATGGGCCTGACGCTCATCCCCTTTATACATTCCTTAAAACTAGATTAGGTGGTACCCTGACAAGGTAATGCTTTTTCTTCGTTATTCCCGTAGTTCTATTAAGTGGAACTTTTCGAAATTTCTCATAGATCGTCAAGGCCAACCATTCAAGAGATATTCTCCTATGACTGCTCCAATGGTGAGTTGTCAAACTTTAAGTATTTTAGTTTTATTCTCATTTCTGACTGTGGAAGTAGGTAAAGTAATTGAAAATCAGTTGAAAAAATTACAGTTTTGTCCTATACTTTTTAATACTTCACTTATTAAGTTATTCGTTTTTCCATACTGTAAGTACTTACCATGTAGTCAGATGGTGTTTTAACTTCTCTCTATCTCATGGCATGTGAACAAAAACCGGACTCAAAAACAAGCTGGTTATTGCCACTGTACAGCACAAGTCACGTAAACTCTGGCACACCAAACTTAATTGAACCAGGAGCGTACGAAGTTCTACGTTGCTATTAAGGAGCGAAATACTCAATTGAAATGTAGTGGTGACGTTTCAGATAGTTGATCGCAAATTAAATCACTTTACGTAGACTGTGAGTCCTTTAGTTTTAAAGATGTCACTAGGAAGGCTTATCCCGTTGAACATTCAGTCAGTCAATGACTGGATTTTGATTGTTAGTTACGTCATACGCTTCATAAATGGAATTCAAACGCATTTTAATCATTCTACATTAGTTTGTATGATGTCATGAAACAAACCTTTCCCCTTCCTGGCAGAGTCCTGAAGTTAGGAAATAGCTATCAGTGCCGTAACCACTAGTTCGCCATAATCAAGATCAGTGACTAAAATGATATTGCTGCCTGAATAACAGTTAAAGCGTACAACCTTCAGCCATTAAGTCTCAGGCTCAAATACTTTCCACCTAACCGGTTGATATCATTAGTTTCTCACACTTAGTAGTAGTCAAACACAAAAGTCTAGTACAGAGTCAAGGAGCTAAAAATATCCGATTTCCGTTTACTCCGTTCATATGTACTTTAAATTCAACTTTTTACTAGTAACTTTTTTTCCACACGCGTTATTGGCCTTACCCGTGACAGCTGATATAAACTTATTGAGGGTGGTGAGATGGTTGCATGAAGTAGCTCATTTCCAACCTACCATTCATAAATTAAGCTTCCATAATCTCATCTCTCTTCACATTGTTTTACATACTATATTTTTAATATTGTTAAATCGTAGGTGGTTGAATTGATGTGCGTTCAAATAAGGTAGTTCTTTGACTTGACCAATCATAAATATGGTGCGTAATTCAGTCAGTCAGTAAGCTACAACGTAGAGCTTCCTACGTACGTACATCAATTCAAGTTGCCATACGACATCTGCACAACTCAAATCACAATGGTGGTGGTAGCAGAAGTGTTAGCGGCAGTGGAGATTAGTGTTCGAAGATATTATTCAGGAAGTATAGTCCACTGTAATAAATTTAAAAGAAAAAGATAAAGGTGGTGAGAAATTCAGAAAATTAGGATTTGAGAGAAGCCAAAGAAGGGATGAACCTGTACCATTGCAGTTATGCTTTATGGTAAAGGATTTTAGAAAACTTGTAATTGTTATGATAAGTAGTAAGTTTTCTCTTTTATGATTTCTAATAGAACGTTTTACTTTTTTGTAGGACACTGTGGAAGATATCCGGAAACTTTTGCATAAAAGTGATCAATAGGATTTTTGAGCTTTAAACAAATTCTTGCCATATGACGATGGCAATCTCAAATGTTCATTGATTGCCATTCGATGAAGTCAGTTTTGTGTGCACCTGACTGCAGAATTTTGTTTTATTGGCTCATTTTTGCTATTGAAAAGCACTTATCAATAAATACTTGTTACCCATAATTGATTAACTTGTACTTCATTAGGTTTTCCAACGGGTTATCTGTAAATATCTTTCATCGTACTTATTAACAAGCTTTTCCGGGAGTAAACAATTACGGTTAGGCTATGTATCTAAGGGATCTACTTGTCTGATTTGTGTGTAATCTTTCCCTTGGATGACCTGATTAGTGGTTCAGGCAAAGCGTCTGAGAGACATGCTTCACTTTGTTATGTTGTTCGCGAATATCCATCCTAAACCTCAGTCAGGAACCTTATCTTGCTACTATTATTACTTTGCGTATCTAGAGGCACTAATTTAGTCAAGAGAAATTAATTTCGAATATGGCATGTTTTGGTCTGGTTACCCCTAGCTTTCGTCCAACCTATTCCTACACCGCAAAATATAGCTCGACGAGGCAGTGGGGGGTTAGGCATACGCAACACATGTCCCAACCAACTCAACTGATGAAGTTTCAATACTTCATCTATTGACATACCATACTTACCTAGCACCCGTATCCTAATAACAGCATTGCTTACTCGGCTGTCCCACGATACTCGATCAATGCTTCGGAGAGCTATGACTGAAAACCAGTAACCTACGAATGTCCTCTACTCTGACTGGCCATGTTTCATTGTACGTTCATGCTTTGGTTAGCAAACGGATATCTCGCTTACACCATAAGTGACTCATGTTGGAAAAAGCCGATCGAGCATTCTGTATCCGTGCTGAAATGTCCTCACAAACCAGGCCAACGGGACTGATAAGACTCCCCAGTTAACTGAAGCGGTCAACTCGCTCAACGGCTTCACTCGCCAACACTAGTTCAGGTGCCTATGCAAGCCAATCTTGAAGTAACACTTTGCATTTCGAGGAGGAAAACGTCATGCTGAGTGTGCTTGCATTGTTGCTTAGGGTAGTCAGAAGCCTCTTCATTTTTTCAGCGTCTTCACCAAATAGGACTATGTTATCGGCATATTCTAAGTCAATAAGCGAGCCACCTGGTAAAAGGTCTACTCCCGAAAATTCAGATGAGGATAAGGTTATATCAAGCAGCATGTCTATGACGAAATTGAACAAGAATGCGGAGAGTGGATATCTCTGACGGACACCACTTGAAGTAAAGAATTCCGAAGACAGTTCATAAGCTCTCAATCGACCTGTATTGTTTGAGCAGAGAGCTTGTATAAGATTAATGTACTTCTTTGGTACACCTTTCAATATCAGACACAGTCACAAAACCTCACGGTTCACAGAGTCAAATGCCGCCTTAAGGTCCAGGAAGAAAACAATTGCCGGACTCCTAAGTGTGTGTCTGTGTCTCAGAACATGTCGTAGTGTAAAAATATGGTCTGTACAGCCACGTCCAGGTCGGAAACCGGCCTGGTTTTCTCTAATCTCTTCACGAGCTGTAGTCAGACGTCTAAATATAATCGAGGCTAAAATTTAGAAACCAAAATTGTTAGACTAATTCCCCTGTGATTGTCACAAAAGGACTCTTGTCCTTTCTTATAAATTGAGACAATCAGGGATTGAGACCAGTCAGATGGGATTACGTCCAGTCCCCAGATTCTGCTTAAGATTTGAGTCAATCTGGCTTCTAAAATTGGACCATCATTTTTAAAAATCTCTGGGGTCAATCCATCAGGTCCGGCTGCTCTTCCTCGCTTTACATTTCCTATCGCTTTTTCAACTTCATTAAGACTAGGGTGACTTACGTCGATTTGCCACTCAGGATGACTGGAGATCGTGGGTAGCCGAAGTGTCGCTGTAGGCCAGTTGAACGGATCCCTAAAGTGTTCTGCCCATCGATCCAATCTCCTGGATTGAGAATGAATGATACAGCCATCCTTTCCTGAGATAGTTTCGCTAACAGATGAATTTCTAACACCGGTTTCCCTGATGAATCTAAATGCCTACTTTTGCCTATTGCCGCTGCCTTTTCCATCGCTTTTGCTTTAGGTAACCACCACTGTTCTCCATAAGACTAAGGTTTACCTTACCAGCAGATATCACTGCCGTTTCCACAGCCTTTCTTATATCATTCCAAGCTGCGTCAGGGTGGGCATCACTTACTACATTGCTGCTGCCTAACTGTTCTTCTAGTTGCTTCTGAAATATATTCTTAGCTTCATTATCACTAAGTAGAGCCCTAACAGGTTTTCTTGCGTCCAGTAAGGCGCAAACAAATATGCTCTCGCACTAGAGAATGGACTGAGTGTAAAGAAGTGCTCCAGAATGAGCGGCAGTCTTCAGTAGAGCCTCTCCGCCGATGGCTTATAGCGACGTTATCTAGTTTGGTCGGCTTTGTGGGTCGCCAGGTCAAAAGATGTTTTTCCTTATGCTCAAAGTTAGTGTTTTCTAAGAATGGGCGGTTATCTGAGGATAGCTGCAGCAGACGGTCGTCATTATCTGTTCTATTACTCGGGTGTCTTTTCTCTGAGTCTACCTACTTGAGCCTTAAAGTCAGCATCCATTATTAATATATCAGAGCGCCTAACATTTCGGAGGTACGACAGCTTTCTGTAAAAGCGCATAAGAGACTGTCTATCCAGTCTAAGAGAGATAGTTCTGTCCAAGGATATAATGCTATATCTAAACCAGAAAGGTCAACGAAAGAAGCAGCAGCGCTGCTAGTCAAACGGAGCGTAAACCGAATCGATTCTCTATCTGTACTAGGTGAAATCAAATTGATGGTTTCACTCCGTTCTTGTATGTACCTTTCGGAGACAACATTGATTGATCGCCCGGGATTACAGAGATCTAGCTAATGGAGCCTGTTGCCCTCTTTGGCATAGGGTCCGAAAATTAAAATCTCGTATGTGTAATTTAGTACGGGGTTTCAAGAGATCAGGAATAAAGTTTAATGAGCTTAAACCGTCCGCTTCAGTGGCGCGGGGTGATAAACGATTGAAAGGAGAGTTGGTCGAGGAGATAAGAAAGTTATTAGGTGTATAGTGTATTTGATTTCAAATGGGAGACCTAAATGCCATGGTTCGCATGGACAACACTGGATATGAAGACATCATGGGACGACATGGACTGGGAGAAGGGAACGAAAACGGTGAGAGATTTGCAAACCTATGTGCCTTCAACAAACGGAAACTTGAGACAATTGTACGAAACAACAAACAAGCTCGCTGGAAACTATCGTAAACCAGAACGACCAGTGAAAAGCAAGGAAGGGAAAGTAATCAGCAACACTGACGAACAGCGAAATAGGTGGGTGGAGCACTTTCAGGAACTCTTGAATCGACCAGCTCCACTGAACACACCCAACATCGATGCAGCATCCACGGACCTCCCAAGTAATATTGGCGCACCTACGATTGAGGAGATCAGTATGGCCTTCAAGAGCGGCAAGGCAGCAGGATCAGACAACATTCCAGCAGAGGCAATGAAAGCAGATATGGAAGCAACTGCGAAAATATTTAACATCCTCTTCAAGAAGATTTGGAATGAGGAACAAGTACCATCAGTCTAGAAAGAAGGGTACCTCATCAAAGTTCCAAAGAAAGGCGATCTCAGCAAGTGTGAGAACTACAGAGGCATCACTCTTCTTTCAATACCAGGAAAAGTTTTCAACAGGGTATTGCTAAACAGAATGAAGGACTTCGTAGACGCCCAACTTCGAGATCAACAGGCCGGATTTCGTAAGGATCGATCGTGTCCCGACCAAATCGCTACTCTACTGACCATTGTAAAACGATCAATTGAATGGGACTCACCACTCTACATCAACTTCACCGACTACGAGAAGGCATTCGATAGCGTGGACAGGAAAACACTGTGGACTCTTCTTCGACACTACGGCGTGCCTGAGAAGATAGTTAACATCATACGGAATTCGTATGATGGATTCGCCTGCAAAATCGTACACGATGGACAGCTAACAGACTCGTTTGAGGCGAAGGCCGGTGTGAGGCAAGATCGCTTACTCTCACCCTTTCTCTTTCTCCTGGTCATCGACTGGATTACGAAGACATCGACATCTGGAGGGAAGCATTTCTACAGTTGAAAAATATCTGGAACTCCAAACAACTTTCAAACAAAACCAAAATCAGGATTTTCAATACAAATGTGAAGACAGTTCTACTGTATGGAGCGGAAACATGGAGAACTACCAAAGCCATCATTCAGAAGATACAAGTGTTTATTAACAGCTGTCTACGCAAAATACTTCGTATTCGTTGGCCAGACACCATCAGCAACAACTTACTTTGGGAGAGAACAAACCAGATTCCAGTGGAGGAGGAAATGAGGAAGAAGCGGTGGAAGTGGATAGGACATACACTACGAAAAGCACCTAACTGCGTCACAAGACAAGCCCTCACATAGAACCCTCAAGGTCAAAAGAAAGGTGGAAGGCCAAGGAACACATTACGCCGAGAAATAGAGAAAGATGTGAGAGGAATGAACAAATATTGGACAGAACTGGAGAGGGAAGCCCAGGACAGAGTTGGTTGGAGAAAACTGGTGGGCGGCCTATGCTCCATTGGGGGTAGCAGGCGTAAGTAAGTAAGAGAGGATTTGATTGCGACCGATTTGGTGTCGTGTGCTGTTATGGGTATGGGGGCGAATATTACTTCCCGGCTGCCCACATCGTGGAAGGGTTCTGGCTGTCAGAAGGGACATCGGCTTCATGACTTCCGAAGGAAATCGACTTTCATCATCAGACTTCATAATTATTCTAAATGAAGATCGAACGCTCAGGGCATAGTTTATATGGTTTGAATTATTTTTCCTTGTTAGCGTTTTTTTGGCAAGTTGGTTTATTCCGGGATAGGTTCTCAACCAACATCTCAACCCTCCTCCTTTATCCGGGCTTGGGACCGGCATTAGCCCCGAAGGGTCTACAGGCGGAGTTATTATGATTCAGAAGCCCTTCTGATATCCATAGTAGTTATATGAATGATATGACATGATAACATAAGGACAGCAAAATCTAGAGTCAGACTACATTATGCCACTGTTTAGAGTGGACTCGACCGCAAAATCAGAAAGTTTCTACTAGTGCCCATCTATTATTGTTTCTAAATAACTACTTGAATTCGATAGTAATACTGGTCGAGCAGTAAAATCCCATGGAACATGTTACTCCACACTCCGTGATCTTAGTCAGCTATAACCTGAAACTTTGCACGTACGCATATAAGTACGAGTTGCTACATCACGTTAGCAAACAGATATGAAATCGTCAATTCAAAATCCATAGTAATAGAGATAGTAAAAGTATTCGCAGTAATGGAAAGGATTAAGGTTCGAAGATATGATTCGAGAAGTTTAGTCCAGAGCAATAAATTTAAAAAAAGAAAGGTGATGAGGAATTCAGAAGATTACAATTCGAGAGAAGACAAAGAGTGGATGCACCTGCACCATTTCATGTCTTGTTGAGCCATCAGATTCAGAGTTCCTAACTATCTCGCGGACTCAACCATGTAGACTCAGTCGATTTGTCAGTGACTTCACAGATTTGTGCCAAGTTATGGTTTGTCCGCCCCTTGCTTTATTACAGCCTACCCGTTCACCACAAAATATCGTTCGTCGGGGCAGTCGGTATTTGGGCTGTATTGATATAATCTAAATTTATTGATCTGCCATCCTTACCTAGTTCCCGTTGCCTAACAACAGCATTGCTTAATCGATAGCCCGAGCAGTGCTTCTACGACACCTATGATCGAAAACCAGTAACCTAAGAATATGTACTCTGACTAGCCATATTTCACAGTTATAAAGTTGAACGGAGCGAACTGCCCAGTAATTTCGTTTTTTGGTTAGCAGACGAATATGACGATTGCGCCGTAAGTGTCGCAAGTTGGCGTAGGCCAATCAAGCGTTCAGTATTCGCTCTGAGATTTCATCAGACACCAGGCCATCAGCGATGATCAGAATCCCCAGATAGGTTAAGCGGTTAACACTATTCTTTAACTGGGGGACCCCGAACGTAGCTCGAATACTGTTCTTCCAATAAGGTTTAAGCTATTTTTTAGTGCCCAATAGATGGTTGTCTAGCTACTCCTCTGCACTTAATCTAGTCAGCTGGTGGTAGTTGCGTTTTTGTCCCTGGTCTTGCGTGAGTTTATTTCAGGGTAGTAGGGATTCTGGATACCATCAGTTTTCACATTATCAAGTCAGAGATCAGTTAGTTGCAATGTGAGAAATCCCAGTGCTAGTGCGAAAATTTCAGAACTAAGAAAGTAAATTAATGAATTAATTAAGTGGTAGCGAAGATTGTGCGAGAGGACTAAGGTGTCAACGGGGGGAGGAAACAAAGATAACAAGCGAGTTAGAGTAAGCTAGTGATCCGAGGAAATGACAGTAATAACATCTAGCAAGTTTCGAGACATGCTTCAAGTGGAGCTGATTCAAGAGGTAGATGAGCACGTGTTTATCAAGTCTATTCTTGAAACTACCCACTGAGGTGGTTGTGGTCACCTCGGCTTCAAATGATGGTGAAGGTAGCAGGAGCCTTTCCTTAACGAGTTTCCATATTCAGAAGCAGTGGATCTCCGATGCTTCCTGATAAGGTCGTAAGTACACAAAAATTTATTAGATAATTACTAATAAATCAGTACAAAATACTCTCCTAATCCCTTAAGAATGTATCCAGTTTCCGCTTGAATAGCTCATAATGAATTGCTTGGAACGATCCATCCATCAGCGATTTTCAAGACACAACTGGATGTGAATAGTACAAAGTATTCTTACAGTTAAATTTACAGTGCTACAACCGACCGCAGACGCCACCTACCTGAGCGTAGCTTCTACCGTGAAGTGTTGGCCGGACTTGCCTATCGTGACGACCCAACCGAGCCATATTGGCTGGAACATATGTCCTTGCAGGTTCTGCCATGCCAGACAGGTCGACTGGAGAACGGTAAGATTAAAAGCAGTAACTGAAGGTCTGATGGCGAAGTCGTACTGTTGACTGTAGAAAGGTGTGACGGCAGTGAGATATTCCCCTCAGACAGCCAGCATTTGCGTCGATGCTGCCGAAGTGGTATCCGCTTTCATACTCGTAACACCACACGAGAGCGAACCCGTCGCAACCGAACCCATCCCACACCTATTAATAATTCTCTTGTCTCCACGACTAACCCATCTCGTATACCTTAATCACCTAGTGCCTTCGATGCAAATGACTTGAGCACGCGAAAAGTTATTCCTGGTCTCCTGAAACACGCTGGAGCTTTTAACGTCCGGAGCTGGTGCCGAATATTACAACAGGATTTTTTAACTAGGACTCTAGAATCTCGTGCTATCGATGTATGCTGCGTCTCCAAAACGCGCACAACAGGATCGGAGTGCAATAATTCATTTGACCTCATCTTGTCAAGGTATAGAGCCATCGCAATTTACACTTTGTGTATCTGAAAGCCGCACTGCTGCTTCTCGTGGCCTTGTTGGTGTAGGTATTTTTACTGGGCTCTAAGGCTTTCTTAGACTAGACCTCAGTAGGTAGTCGCTTATGTGCTGTCCGACTAAACGAGACAGTAAAGTCTCAAAAAGAGGGACACTCGTCGATGCTTATTTGTTGTTGTGATTAGGTCAGTATACGCATGGCGAGAACTAGAGTAGTCTAAACCAAACTGGCCCACCTCTGGTGTCTTCGTGATGTTAGTTTGGCTGTAAAAGGTCGGACCGGCAAAATATGAACGAGTACGGTTTTAGTATATCTTTGTGAAACCTACCCTCTCCGACTTGACATGAAACAACTCTGTATTTTATCGTCGTGTTCTCCATTGGATTTTGACATTCAGTGGCAACATGATATCAGTGATGCCGAGGGGTGTGCTTGAACACATTGACGATTAGTCAGGTCATATCACCCGCTTGAAACAGGCTCCAATGGCTCGAATATGTGCTACAAACACTGTCCCAGCGAATGCTATATCGTGCATTATTTTATGAGGTTGGAAAAGGCAGAGGGTGGGATGGAAGGTAGTGTACGACTGGCTCCTGACACCAAACAAGAGCTTGTGAAGAGCAGACTCGAGGAAGCCAGGTTGGTTTCCGACCTGGACGTGGCTGTATATACCAGATATTCACACTCCAACAGGTCCTAGAACACCGACACACATTTCGCATCCAATAATAGTTGCATTCCTCGATCTTAAGATGGCGTCTGACGCTGTTTATCAAGAGGTTAAATTGTAATTCGCCTTTTAGACCATACTTATCAGTAGCTAATTAGTCTAATTCAAATAAGAAAATTTTTCAAAGGGTTCGAAACTACTGGTTATTTTGGTTGGATAGTTCATTTTACATTCCAGAGAAAAATTTTCTCAACTCTAGTTTGCTGTATTGATAATTAGGTACATAAACTTAAATAAAATCATCCACATAGCACTAATAGCCTTGTCTCTTTACTCTTTGAGTAAAATTAACTAACCATGTGCACTTATATTTACAACGTAAATAAAAAAACTTAATTATCGATCTGTTAAATATGAATATTATGACCTTCTATTTATATACATATCAATTATTCATATGATTTATATTTGTTAACAAACAAAAGCACACTGTCAACAACAATCTGTATTGCTTAATGCACTTTAACAAATACAAAATATATTAAAATAAAAAAAGAGAATAGGGTCATTATGTTCACAGTCAATAATAAAATTGTTACCATAATCATAATTCAAGAAAAGTTTACATTGTATTCTATTTTTTAGAAGAAAATTAATTATACAAAACCGACAATTTCATGTTGATTTATCTTTTTCAATAAATCTGAAAGTATAAGAAAATTAATCATATTAAAGTTGGTAGACCAAATTTCTGATTGGAATTTTTATTTTCAGTGTAAAATACTATATAATGATTATTATGAATACATTTTTTATACAAATTCAGGCATAGTTTATATGTGAGATGTTTTTCTCGTGATGGTTAACACATGATTTCGGATGGCGTACATCTTAATATTTTTGCGTTATAAATATATTTAAGATAATATGCGATAAGATAATATGTGATCAGATCACACACATAGACAGTAAACCACATAGTGACCATCAGATCAAACTGAAAACAATGAGCACTAAATAAAATGAAAATTTTCTCTTTTTAAGCAAATAATTCATGCTGCTCGAGTTTTACACATTCGTATAATGAGTTGGTGATATTTTACAACAGCCAAATAATGATGTTTATAATTTTGTACAGATCTTTGGAGAATATTTGTTTTGCATGAGAATTTGATGGAAAAGCGGTACTTTCATGATAGTCAGAATCGATTGTTTGGTTTAAACTGTCATAACATCAAT